ATTTTTATCTTTTATTTTGTTCATGTGGTATATCACATTAATTCATTTTTGTATGTTGAATGAGCTTTTCATCACAGGATAAATCTCACTTGGTCATGATATGTGATAAATTTCATCATGCATTGTTGGAATTTTACATGGTATTTGGATAAGTTTGTTTGTTTGTTTATTGTGGTACTGTATATTGAACCCAGGGATACTCCACTACTAGTATTATTTTGAGACAGTCACTACATCTTACCTCAAACTTGYAATCCTCCTGCCTCAGGCTCCAAAATTTCTGGGATAGCAGGCATGCAACCCTGTGTCTGACCAAGGTTTTTTGTAATCTTCACTTTTTAGGAATATAGTTTTGGGGATCCCCCTCCCATATAATCTATCTGGCTTTGGTATCAGGTCTCACAAAATGAGTTTGAACTGTTCCCTCTTCCTCAATTTTGTAGAAGAATTTGAGAAAGATCACTATCATTTCTTMATTAAGTGCTTAATAAAATTTACCAGTGAGGACATCAGATCCTGGAATCTTCTTTGATAGATTTTTGATTCAATCTCTTTAGTTTTTATTGGGTGTTCAGATTTTCTGTTTCTCCATGATCCAGAGTTGGTAGCTTGCAAGTTTCTACAAATTTATCCATTTTTTCCAGGTGACCCAACTGACTAGCATGTAATTGTTTAGTCTAGCTAAATGTTAAAAACAAAACAACCACCAAAAAACCCCAACTCTTAGTTTCATTGATGTTTGCTGATACTTTTCTAGTTTCCATTTCCTTTTAAAATTTTAAAATTTCTTTTAATTAGTTATACTTGACAGAATGCATTTATGCACTTTGATACAATCATACATAGATGGGATATAATTTCTCATTTTTCTGAGTGTTCATATTGTAGAATYACATTGGTCATGTGGTCACATATATCCATAAAGTGATAATGCCTGTTTCATTCTACTATCTTTCCTATCCCCACATCTCCTCCTTTCCCCTCCCTTCACTTTCCTCAACCTAATGTAAGGTAATTCTATTCTTATCTAGCCCCTTCCCCCCTCTGTTGTGAATTAGCATCTGCATATTAGAGAAAGCTTTCGGCCTTTGGTTTTGGGGATTGGCTTATTTCACTTAGTGTGATATTCTCCAACTCCATCCATTTACTGGCAAATGCCATACTATTCTTCTTTAAAGCTGAGTAATATCCATTGTGTATATATGCCACATTTTCTTTATCCATTCATCTATTGAAGGACACCTAGGTTGGTTCCATAATTTAACTATTGTGAATCGAGCTGCTATAAACATATCACTGTAATATGCTGACTTTAAGTCCTTTGGGTATAAACTGAGGAGTGGGATAGCTGGGTCAGAGCTTATTTTGTTCTTCTTCTATAGTTCCTCCATGTATAACATGTTGTTTATTTGAGAACTTTCTTTATTTTTCATGCAGGCATTTTCACTGCAAACTTCCCTCTATGAACTGCTTTTGCTGAAYTCCATAATTTCTGATATCTTATGTTGCCATTTTCGTTTGTGTCAAGATATTTTTAAATTTCCCATTTGAGCCTGGCAGAGTGGTGCACAACTGTAATTCCAGTGGCTCAGGAGGCTGAGGAAGAAAGATCTCAAAATCAAAGCCAGCCTCAGCAAAAAACAAGGTGCTAAGCAGCTCAGTAAGACCCTGTCTCTAAATAAAATACAAAATAAGGCTGGGGATGTGGCTCAGTGGTTGAGTGCCCCTGAGTTCAATCTCCAGTACCCCTCCCCCCAAAAAAATTTCCTTTTGATTTCTTCTTGGCCCTCTTGGTTGTTTGGGAGCACGTTTAATTTCCAAGTATTTGTGAATTTTCCAGTATTATTGTGATTGATTTCTAGTTTTATATCATTGTAACAGAAAATGTGCTTGATAAGATTTCAGTCTTAAATTTATTGAGATTATTTTGTGGGCTGGTGCATAATTCATCCCGGAAAATGTCTGTGTGCAGTTGAGAAGCCTGTGCATTCTGCTGCAGTTGGGTGGAAAGTCCTGGGTGCAGCTGTTCTGTCCACTTGGTCTAGGGTATAGTTCAAGTGTAATGTCTCCTCATTGATTTTCTGTCTGGATGATCCGTCCATTGTTGAAAGCTGGATCTTCAAGTCCCCTGCTATTATTGTATTATTGTCTATTTCTCCTTTCATTTCTTTTAATATTTGCTTTACATATATAGATGGTATGATGCTGGATGCATACACATTTATAATTATTATACCCTCTTAATGAATTGGCTCTTGCATCACTATGTAATGACCTTGTTAGTTTCTTGTTGCAGTTTTTGACTTAGAGTCTATTTTGCCTSATATAAGTAAAACAATCCTGCTCTCTTTTGTTTTATGTTTGCCTAGACCATCTTTTCCCATCCCTTTACATTCAGTCTGCCCTTAAAATTAAATTGAGTATCTTGTAGTTTGTGTTTAGTTGGTTGGTTGGTGCTTTCTCTTYTATTCAGCTAGTCTTTTTTTATTAGAGAATTTATTCCATTTACAATTAAAGTAATTATTG